GGGGCGGGGGGTTGCGTGTGCGCGCCGTCGCGTTAGAGGAGCTCGCTCTTCGTCTGGCAGCAAGCGGCACGCAATGGTGCGAAATCTGAGTAACAAAAGGCTTTGCTCCTTTTGTGTGGGGACGCCGCGGGTACTCTCTGCAACGCGTACGTTTACAAAGACCATCTTGTGCATCTCGTTAGTCCTCCAGTCCCGGATGTGATACGGGGACGTTGAACGGTGCAGCTCTTAGCCTATCTAATCTTTTGTTATTGTTTAGAAGATGGCTTAGTGTGGGTTTTTTTCCTCTTTTCAAGTAGAAGTGGTCCAAGGGGAAAGTGAGAGACAAGTTGAACAACCTTGTCCTGTTTGACAAGGCCACCTATGACAAACTGTGCAAAGAAGTGCCCAACTACAAGCTCATCACACCCGCAGTCGTCTCGGAGAGACTGAAGATTCGAGGCTCCCTGGCTAGGGCTGCCCTCCAGGAGCTGCTCGGCAAAGGTAAGCGCTCAAAACTGTGCAAAGAGAGAAAGCCACTTGAATCGGATGTTTTCTTTTCCTTGCTCACCCAGAAGATTTTTCACCCCATCTGAAGTACACGATTTGGCGTGTTTTTGACAAGCTGCTCCCTTAGCTTGCGTTTCAAAAGTGCTCCGAAGTGAGGAGCAGAGGCTCTGCCGTGTTCAGTGGCGTCGCGATACTCAGAAAATGCTGTCAGAAGGACAGGTTGTGACGCAGCCGCTCCCAGACCTGAACGGAAGCCTTGCGCGAGCATGCATAGCGTTGGGTACCCTGGTATTTCCTGTCGCTTGTTGTCCAGTCTGCCGCTTTAGGAGGGCCCGCAATGTCCCCCAGTACGCATGCACTCAAATAATTCCCTTTTTTTTGTAGGTTTGATCAAACTGGTGTCCAAGCACCGAGCCCAAGTGATCTACACCAGAAACACAAAAGGTGGCGATGCGCCCGCCGCAGGGGAGGACGCGTAGGGAGGTGAGATGGCGGGGCTGGGTTGTGCTTTGTTGGGGGCTAACGGGCGGCTACGTGCCACGTAACTGATGACTACCTCGCTGCTTTGGATGGGCTGTTTGCCCAGACGTTTCAAGGGACGTCGCTCGCGTGCCGAGCAGCTTCCTGAGTGGCATTAGTGGAAATGTTGGTTCTCCAGAATTCAAGAGCGATTTGCGATTTTTTTGTCCCGTCTGTGGGCCGCGGGGTACATGGGCACGCGTCCTCCCCGCTGTTGCCCTGACAGAGCGTTCTTGTCGGAATGCAAGTTTTCGGACCGTTTGCTTCCTGCTAGCTTCTTTTGACCTGGTTGCCTGATTTGGGACTTCTTGCTTTGCAGGTTCTCCAGTGACCTCGTCAACAATGTGTCATATGTAGATGCACACAATAAAATTATTGAAATAATTTTTCTTGCCTTTTCAAGAACGCGTACGTTTCGTTATTGACGCATTATTGATAGCAGATTCTGGTAACGGTCACGGCTGTCTTCCTCTAGCAGCGAGTTTTTTGCATTGACAGTGTTACGAAGGTACTGTGAACACGCTTTTATATCGCGAAAAGGGAAAGGAACTTCTGCATTGCCTACAGCAGCCAGTGATGTTAAACCGTATTCGGCTCTAGTAGGAGGAAAATCGAATAGACAGGGAAGGTGCTAGTGAGATATTTTCGTTATTTATTTAAACTCCCCCTAAACAAGCCGTGCCCACAGATTGTGTGTACGAGGTGACAGCATCTTTTGGGTCAGGGTCTACTGGGGAAACATAGTTAAGCAGCTCTAAAGAAGGCTGTAAGTATTTTATTTAAATTAAAAGTAAGAACTGCGCATAGCAAAGGTCTTTAAGGCCTCCTTTCTTCTACGGAGGACCAAATAGTTGTCCTTTAGGTGAGGCAGAACGAGTGAAAGTAACACAAATTAGAAAGAAAACATGAGATGGAATATCATCACTTTCCTCCAGAGCGGGCCCTGTATCTGAAACGTGTTTCAGTTGGCCTACTAACAGAGGTAATCTAAAAAAAAAAAAAAAAGAAAAGGTTTATTTCTCAAAAACTTATTTCTTTAACGGAACGTCACGCCATCAACGCAGGACACCGGCACTACGTGCTGTTTAAGGTCAGCCGCCTAATTATGAAGATACGGCGCAGACAGGAGACCTTCCTTGCTGGCAGGATCTGCCTTTGTGTAGCTTAAGACCAGAAATCGGTGCCCAGATACACATGGGGGAGTGGAGCTACTGCGACACCCCTGGCAGAGCAGCCTTTGGTAACGGTTCCTACCTTCCCGGGGACCGAACGCATCTAGATGTATATATTAAATAAGAGCGCTGAACTTGGTGGCAGCAACAGCCCTGACAAAGCTGCAGCTGCCTACAGTCTGCCTTTCCACAGCGGTCATAGCTCTGGTTTCTTCGGTGCTCCTCTTCTGATCACCTTTTTTTCTTCTTTTCCCCTGATTCAGTTCTAAACTGATGCCTGAAAGAAGTCAGAACGCAACAGCCTTTAGAAAGAGGTAACGAACGCTGCCTCATCTAACAAGTAAGATAGTGTTATGTATAGTGTTTTAGAATGGACACTCAGTGATTTTTTTCTTTCAGCTCTCTCGGTGAGCTGTAGCTAGCTGACACAGGTTTCTAGCGTGTTAAAAGGTACGCGGGTGTGAAAGGTGAGCTAAGCTCAACGAGGCAGACACACTCCATGGCCGTGACCATGCTTCACCTCGTGTGCGCGGCTCCAGGACTAAGCACTGCGTGGCGTAACTCTTCCCGTGCGGTGAAACATCTCCTTATGCTTGCTGCTACCGCAAAACCCGTTCCGTGAGTAGCCTGCGCGGAAGGAAACCGCAAACCCTCCGCTCGCCATCAGCCCGTGCTGCCCTGAAGCTTACCTGGACTGCCACCTCCTGCCGTGATTCCAAACCCGCCCGAAGGAAGGGAGCCAGCTGTCGCCTGTCTGAGAGGTATGGTCAAAGTTGGCACCAACGCGCTCCGCTGGGAGCTTTTTCAGCTTCTGCTTCTCCTCTAAAAAAAAAAATAGTTTGTTCAGCCAAAGTTTTTCAGTCAAATTGCTTTTGATTCTTTAGTGCGGTAAAGCGAACGTTAAGGTTAACTGAAACGTATACGAGCTGCTCACTTTGTCTGAGAAATTCCTCATACGAAGGTCCGATTTGTCGTTTACTTCCATCCTCCTCCTCCTCTTCCTCTGTTAGCCACGGAGGTTTTGCTCCTAGAAGTCACAGGGAAAATGCGTTCAGCCACTGAGGTTATCCTAAGCTCGCCGTAGGGGAAAGCATCCCTTCGTCCCCTGTCCCTGCAGCTCGCCCTACCAAGTAAGCGGGTGAAGGAAAAGTAAACTTTGGGCCTGGTGAGACAAAGAAGCTGGCTTGCCTCGGTTATGGCCGTGGCAGACCGTGCCCCAAACCATACGCTCCACGCAAGCAGCACCACCAACGGCTTTCGTAACACAGAAGTGTTTTCTTCTCTATTATGTCAAATATCAGCAAAAGAGCGAGCACCTCCTCTGGTTTTGCTGTAACTGCTGCAAAACTGCTTAAAGTTATCCCCATTAAATTTGCAAGCCAAGGTTTTCGGTAGGGCAGTAACCAAACGAGTCACGAAGCAGGCACGATTACCTGTGTGAACGTTTCCTTTCCCTTCTGTTTCCTGTTAAGAGAAAAATGAAACACTAATGAGAAACCGATGCTTTCAGGAGTATCTTTCAACAGAACGGCATTGTGTGCGTTCCCTTCCGGCGTCCAGTTCTGTGACAAAAAGTCGGGGAGGGAGGTGCTCTCTGCTTTCCTTCAGGAGCATTTGGGTTTTCAGTGCATTTTAGAACGTTTGCTCATTGAAACACAAGTTAGCACTGGAGGACTGAAACTCTTCAGCTAGTCACTGCCTTTTTCAGCGGCTGGAGACTGCAAACCCTTGTTTTTTGCCTTGTAACGCGCACTACGTGTACCTCACTGTCATTTAAGTCACGCTCGTTAGCCAGTCACCCCTACCTGGTGGCCAATGAAGGTCAAAGCCTGGCCTGATTCTGTCCAGTTTAAGTCAGGCCCCGTCTGCATCCCACTCGGGCCAGGCTGCTCCGCATCCTGAGAGGAGTCCCTGGAATACAGAGGCTGAGAGGTGGGTGACTGTTGAAGCCGGGCAGGCAACGATTGTCCAGAGGTTTCTGGAGCAGAACGCGTGTTTGGAGAGCTTTGCAGTAAGAAGGAAAAAGAAAAGTTTTCTCGGGGCGTGGTGACGCAAAACGCTTGGATGTTGTTGCTGTGCTCGCTCTTTATGGTTGTTGGCGCTTACCTATGAATGCGCGGCCGAGACTAATCTCTCTGTGGCTGTGGTGCTTACCGTAGCGTAGGTAAAAGTTTGCAAAGGATCTGAATGGGTGCCCATGACAGCGTCACTGAGCGAGAAAGGCTGCTGCTGGGGCTTGGTCTGGCGTTTTGAGCGGGGTACGTGGGTTAGCAGCGATGTAAGGAAAACGGTTCTCACCTTCCGGGTCCGGGTGGGGGGCTGCAGACAGAAGGTCCTGCGCAAAGCTCTGGCTCTGTTTGAAGCTGAGTGTGATTCAGGAAAAAGGAACAATATTTCTGGTATTGA